CATACCCGTGCTCGTGGGTTTCACTGAAGTGGTAAACATCTGAGACTCACATCACTTCGGGCTTTCCTCCCACATTAAGCTGACATGCCGTGAATACTGTTAAAAGCGGCGTTAAACCCAACTCACTCACTCACTTTGATTTGAGTAGCAAGGAGGAACATGGTCCACTTTGATATTGTCAGTGAAATTTTTCTATTAATTTCTGTGACATTGATTAATATAATTATCAAGGCTTAAAGTTGGTTAATTACTATCACAGTACTATTGCAATAGTGTAGAGTACTATCATGATTATTGCAATACTATCTCAATAGCGAAAATAGCCCTAAAAGTCACCCCTAATCTTTAGTGTAGAGTTCTTTGTTTAGTGTAATATTCTCTGTCTTTGGTGTTGTAGGATTCTCCGTTTTTTGTGTTATAGGATTCTCCTTATTTGGTGTTGTAGGATTCTCCGTTTTTGGTGTTGTAGGATTCCCCGTCTTTGATTTTGTAGGATTCTCCATCTTTTTGGTGTTGTAGGATTCTCCGTCTTTGGTGTTGTAGGATTCTCCGTCTTTGATGTTGTAGGATTCTCCATCTTTTTGGTGTTGTAGGATTCTCCATCTTTGGTGTTGTAGGATTCTCCATCTTTGGTGTTGTAGTATTCTCTGTCTTTGGTGTTGTAGGATTCTCCATCTTTTTGATTTTGTAGGATTCTCCATCTTTTTGGTGTTGTAGGATTCTCTGTCTTTGGTGTTGTAGTATTCTCTGTCTTTGGTGTTGTAGGATTCTCCATCTTTTTGGTGTTGTAGGATTCTCTGTCTTTGGTGTTGTAGGATGCTCCATCTTTGGTGTTGTAGGATTCTCCGTCTTTGGTGTTGTAGGATTCTCCGTCTTTGGTGTTGTAGGATTCTGTGTCTTTGGTGTTGTAGGATTCTCCATCTTTTTGGTGTTGTAGGATTCTCCATCTTTGGTGTTGTAGGATTCTCCGTCTTTGGCGTTGTAGGATTCTCCGTCTTTGGTGTTGAGGCATGGTTGGCCTAGTCGTCTTAGGCACTGCGATTCGCTGTGCAGAGTTGCATCCCTTGGGCACGCCAGAAACCTATGATGGTGGGTTCGAATCCCGGTTCGCCCCGATTATGTTTCAAGGTTTGTCAGCACCATACCATTTCACCGAAGTGGTAAACATCTGAGACCTACAGCACTTGAAGCTGTCCTCCCACATTAAGCTTACACGCCGTGATATAACTGGAATACTGTTAAAAGCGGCGTTAAACCTTATTCAATCACTCACTCTGTCTTTGGTGTAGGATTCTCTGTCTTCTGAGGAACCATTTTCATGATATCAAACTACACCAATCATCAACAGTGCAAGGTACAACTGTCTAAACAGAACAATTGACTCCATTACAATTACTGACTGACATTCATTACATTGTTTCCTGTATAGAATGTTCCTTTCTTTCAATCACAGAAAGATGTGTGGGAACATAAACAAATTGTCAATGCATGTCTCTTTGATTCTATGAAATGTGTGCCTTATTTGGACGTCTTTCTATGATATATACAGCATTTAATGAATGAAAGCTGCCTCGCATTCATTTGATTGGTCAGCTATGTAACCAGGACATACAAATTAGAGTTATTCTTACCCAGAGCAAACACTTGTCATGTGTCAATGTGGACTTTCAAATTATGTGATTGGTTTATTTGCTCAGTATTTATTTTAGTATTTAGATTTTTATGACCAGGAGGTCGACAGAGCTCCAGATAAGCTTTTGGTGTTGTGGGTATTTTACCCATGCATTTTAAAATCATTGGGTATCAGTAATTCTATCTGGGTATTCAAATTTCTGTTACCCACTAGTTTTTACACATGTGGGTATTTAAGTTAAATATTTAAAAACACTATTCATCTAGTCCCTGCAAACTGGTGTCGTGTGGGTTCGAGAGCTTTATAGGACTCAAAAATACCACGATACTTCCACAAGAAAGTGTGATGACAAATGATCATGATGTAACTGTCATCGTGGAGTTGGGCAAGGTTGACGGAATGCCCGTCTATAATTTCAAAATAAGTTGCTGATTTGCTAATAGAATACGCAGGGTTACTTCACAATATTTTGATGATACACACAAGTTTTATTTTTGTAGCGTATATGTAATGTTCGTTGCGTATTTGATTCGCTTGGATTTTATTTTACTGCATATTTCTGCATTTCTGATGCGTATTTTATGCAGATACGCAGCTTATCTGGAGCTCTGAGGTTGATGATGAAATAGATTTGGTAATAAAAGTCATGTTTTATATCCAGGGTTATGGTCCGTGTTTGATAGCAACAAGATTGCCAGTGATATGGCGACAGCAAACTGTAGATTCAGTGTCTCGTTAGGACTATTTCATCGTGAATATATCAGATTGTGAATAAATATTGATTGTTTCATAAACATAACTGCAAATGAATATTATAATATTATACGAGGATAACAAATACCTTTTTGCACATTTTTTATCCAGTTTTTATCAAACATTAGCCAGTTATTTGAGAAATAAACGACTCGTGGTCGTTGTTTATCGTACAATATAACACCCCAGGGAGAATAAACCATGGGGGGTTATTCTCCCTGCAGTGTTTTATTGTAAGATAAAGAACAACCATGAGTCGTTTATTTCTCAATGAGTGTTTCTTATATGAGATATCAACATTATGTCCAGCCTCTTTAAGGATGATGATAAAGTGTACAAGCTTTAAAAAACATTTACCTGTAGTTAAATAATGATGACTCCCTCAATAGAATCCAACCTGGGCAATGTTGGACAGTCCATTTTATGCACAGATTGGTATTTCCCACATGTTATCACAATTCTCATGTCGATTACCTGTACCTTTTCTCCCAATACCGATTGTCATATCTCTCGCGCTTTTGGATGCGATCGCTAAGCCATTGCGTTTATCTGCATTGCCCAGCTACATATATGGGGAACAACTCACTAAACATTCCTCTCAAAAATAAAGTCATCCAATATACGTCATTAAGTTTTTCATTGTTCTTTGCGAATTATTGCGTTGGCTATCTTGTATTTTGAGTGTAAATCATAACGGGCCTACATGATAATAATTAGGGGTGGTCAACAGACAAGTTATTGGCTTGCTTATTTCATGATTTACTTACTCTACAGGGGGGCACGGGTGGCCCAGTCGTCTTAGGCGCCGCGATTCGCTGTGCAGAGTTGCGTCCCTTGGGCACGCCAGAACATATGATTGTGGGTTCCAATCCCGGTTCGCCCCGATTATGTTTCTAGGTTTGTCAGCACCATACCCATGCTTGTTGGTTTCACCAAAGTGATAAACGTTTGAGACCTGCATCACTTCGGGCTTTCCTCCCACATTAAGCTGACACGCCGTGATATAACTGAAATAATGTTAAAAGCGGCGTTAAACCCAACTCACTCACTCACTCACTCACTTACTCTACCATTAGGACCTAGGTAGGAACAGGAACTATTGTTTGTCAGAGGGGACTAAATGGATCGGTGGTCAGGCTTGTTGATTTGGTTGTATGCATGTCATCGTACTCTGATGGCATGAGATGATATCGATGATATCAATCACTGGTCCAAACCTATCTATAAAATGTTGCAGAGCGCCAGATAAGCTTGTTGTGTTGTGGGTATTTTACCCATGCATTTTAAGATCATTGGGTATCACTAATTCTATCTGGGTATTCAAATTTCTGTTACCCACTAGTTTTTACACATGTGGGTATTTAAGTTAAATATTTAAAAACACTATTCATCTAGTCCCTGCAAACTGGTGTCGTGTGGGTTCGAGAGCTTTATAGGACTCAAAAATACCACGATACTTCCACAAGAAAGTGTGATGGCAAATGATCATGATGTAACTGTCATCGTGGACTTTGGCAAGGTTGACGGAATGCCTGTTTATAATTTCAAAATAAGTTGCTGATTTGCTAATCGAATACCCAGGGTTACTTCACAATATTTTGATGATACACACAAGTTTTATTTTTGTAGCGTATCTGTAATGTTCGTTGCGTATTTGACATGCTTGGATTTTATTTTACTGCATATTTCTCCATTTCTGATGCGTATTTTACGCAGATACGCAGCTTATCTGGAGCTCTGAATGTTGTGTTGTAGTCTGAATATTGCTGTGTTAATAGTGCCAAAGCTGGGTGGGATGCGATTGCCCCCCTAAAATCTAGACAACCCTAGTAAACTTGGTAACTTCATGGGCACAACTTTTGCCTCTCCCCCCAGAAAGTTAACTGGTTAACCATACAATTCTCATCTGGCAAAGAACCATTCCTTATACTCTGACATTACCCTACACATCTCTATGTGGTATTGGACTGTTTTCTATGTCTTCCATATGGGCAGGAGAAATGGTCCTTTTATCCTCAGGATATAATGCTGCAGGGACTGCCCTTTACTCCCAAGGGATGTACAGCATTTCATATGTCGTTTGTACACAAGAACAAAGAAACAGTATTTATTCATGTAAAACAATTATCTCATTGCTGATTAGCTGCATCTGGAGACATCAAAGAACACGGGGATATTTTCTCTGTTCTTCAGACAAGTAATCTGCCGGGGACGAGACTACATACGCTCATCCTTGTCAGGTTTACGGTCGGGGCACTTGGGGTGGTCATCATGAAGGATTTATTGACTTTTAATCGAAGTTATCTCCCTTTGGTTGGTGGTTTTAACAAAAGCTCATCACTTCTTCAGAGGCAGTGGGGTGATTTTATGTTCTGAAGTTTTGGTAAAAGGCAAACTTTGTGTGTGGGTTTATGTGACCACTATCATGTTTGTTCACAAAATTGATCATTCTTGATGCAAAAGATAGTAAATAATTATGATCAACAGTTACATGTTCTAAGCTTGGAAAGTGAGGCATGTAAATGTCAAAAAGACTAAATTTGAATGCATGTATCAGAGGGTAACATATGTTTTGTGTTGTGAGCGTGTCTAATTGTGTCTTCTGTTTGTACAGGCTGAAGATCGCCTACTGCGGACGTGTTGAGACATCTGATGGCCGTGTAGGAGACAACGACATCCTGCAACCATGGCGGAGACACCAACCTCACCAACCTCACCAACCTCACCAACCGCCCTGTCAGAAGGTAAGCTCCCACCATGTATACATCGGCGCTTTCCTTTCTTTGTTCACCTTATTCTTGCTCTCAACATTCACACTTTGATGTTCATGGAATATAGTTTTTATTTATATTGTTATTAAAATTTAGCCATCTTTACAGCACGTTTTAAACATGGAACATATTGACAGTTCAACTTCTGTCTTTGTCTAAACTTGTATGTCTCAATAGTGTAGTGGATAGGGTGTCTGCCCGGAGAGAGAACTGTCGGTGGTTTGATCCCCTGAGCGCATTATGCCAAGACAATAAAAGACAAATACTTTTTGGCACCCTGTCCAACTCCCGGTGACCCGTGAAGATCTGGGGTAGAATAGGTCTTCAGCAACCCATGCTTGCCATAAAAGTCGACTATGCTTGTCGTAAAAGGCAACTAACGGGATCGAGTGGTCAGGCTCGCTGACTTGCTTGATGCATGTCATCTCTCCAAATTGCGTGGATCGATGCTCATGATGTCAATCACTGGTTTGTATGGTCCAGACTCGATTATTTACAGACCGCCGTCATATAGCTGGAATATTGCTGAGTGCGGCATTAAACAACCAACCAACCAACCAACCAAACCAACTCTCGGCATTAATGGGATAAGACAAGGAATGCTCGGCTCGGCTCGGCTCGGCTCGGCTCGGCTCGGCTCGGCTCGGTGTTCATTTTACCCCATGTTAGAGGAATGTTTACCCCATGTTACAGGAATGTTTACCCCATGTTAGAGGAATGTTTACCCCCATTATAGAAATGTTTACCCCATGTTAGAGGAATGTTTCCCCTGTGTTACAGGAATGTTTACCCCCATTATAGGAATGTTTACCCCATGTTACAGGAATGTTAACCCCATGTTACAGGAATGTTTACCCCATGTTACAGGAATGTTTACCCCATGTAAGAGGAATGTTTACCCAATGTTACATGAATGTTTACCCCCATGTTACAGGAATGTTTACCCCATGTTATAGGAATGTTTACCCCATGTTATAGGAATGTTTACCCCATGTTACGGGAATGTTAACCCCATGTTACAGGAATGTTTACCCCATCTTACAGGAATGTTTACCCCATGTTACAGGAATGTTTACCCCCATTATAGGAATGTTTACCCCATGTTACAGGAATGTTTACCCCATGTTACAGGAATGTTAACCCCATGTTACAGGAATGTTTACCCCATGTTACAGGAATGTTTACCCCCATGTTACAGGAATGTTTACCCCATGTTACAGGAATGTTTACCCCCATTATAGGAATGTTTACCCCATTTTAGAGGAATGTTTACCCCATGTTACAGGAATGTTTACCCCATGTTACAGGAATGTTTACCCCATGTTACAGGAATGTTTACCCCATGTTACAGGAATGTTTACCCCATGTTACAGGAATGTTAACCCCATTTTAGAGGAATGTTTACCCCATGTTGGAGGAAATCACCAGATATGTTGATTTACCGTTTAAATTGTATTTTTTGTTCTGCTAGGCATTGTTTTATATCCAGGGATTAAGATTACCTTGTGTACTTTCTCGTAAACTAAGCCGGACACAGCAATCAGCTGTACACACGTTTTCTTGGAATCTACCGGTGATTCGGTCAAGACACACCCAATGATATAACTTTACAGGATTTTAATGCAAGGATCTGCAAAAATTGTTTCTGAAACTATTTTTTTATCGGGAATAATATATTCCAATATCTTGTTAATTTAGATGCAGCTTTTACTAAACATATTTAAAATAATAATAACCCTAAGTGAAGCAGCTGATCGCTATTGCCGGGTATTATTTTTTACATGGAACCAGTCTGACCAGTCACCGTCAAGGCTCCCGTGCACGTTCGAGAATTACGTGTTGACATAGAATCGTCCAACAAAAACGAATATGACTTTAAACGAGCCACAGTATGGCATTTATGATATATGTATCCATTCTCTGTCAACTAAAGTTCGTTTCAAGGCGTCAATAGCGGTATTCTGACCGTGGTTGCTGTTAATAACGGTGAGTTGTTCGATCTTCCGATCGCTTCACACATGATTTCGCCGACATTAATTAAAACAATATTAAAAGGAATTTTGAATAAAATTAATAAAATAAGTTACAAACATAAGTCCAGATATACAAAGAACACTTTTTATAGACAGACAGTGTAATTACATGACTAATTCAGTATGGATTTGTTGACATGGTATTTCCGGTGTTACGTGCTCGCGGTAATGTCTTTCCATGGGGGGAAAAACATCAAAACTCATTAATTCTTGTATAATGCGCACCCCCTTCTACACAGCTGTGTTTTTTTTTTTAAAAAGTGCGCACTTTACTCAAGAAAATACGGTATATGTATCCATACGTGATGTAGATGTATCATGACAACATGAGATGTTCAGTAGGGAGATAATTTTGCTGTCAAAATACAATACAAGATTAAAGAAAGTCAAATCAAATACTAACTCCAATCTTGCACATTTGACTCAGAATCTGTCACCAATGTTTGTCACAGAATGTTGCACAATGACTAACTCAGTGATGTCATAATTCACCTATTATCTGTATTGTGAGAATTCTTCATAAAATCAATTCTGTTGCAATCATTGTGAGGAGTCAAGAGTTGTCTCCCCTCCACCTCTATTGATCACAGTGGAGTTGGTGCAATGTGAACGCTGCACAGGTTCATAGACAGAGTGTGAGGCCATCAGTGCCCTGTTACATAACAGTTTTCATGAACATTATGTTATTTGTGTTAAATAATTAATCATGCTGCCTATAGTAATGATAGCACCTGCCTCTGTGGAGAGATGACTTTCACGTTGGACGTATTAGTCATCATGGGGATATTAGGTGTGGTTTGTGTGGTGTATCACAAGTCCTTAGTGAAGTTTCTTGAATAATTGAGGTGTTTTGAAACATGGATTGTGAAATACACTGGGTTTTTATATTTCAGATAGAAATATAATGACTAACTCTGAGAAAGATTTATGAAAAATATTATTTTTTTAAATAATGCTTCTTGTATTATATTCATTGAGTTTATTAATCATTAACAAGGAAATAAAACATGGAGGATGGCATCTATGGCCTGGCAAGTTATGAATATGAAGTATAATTAAAACTGTGGGGATTCCAGGTTAGAATTGGTCCCAGGCATCTTATGCTGGTGTATGCTGGTAGTCATGTTCGGTGACTTAGTTACGTGTCATCGTACCTCGACTCACAATATCAATCATTTGATTGTATGGTCCAGACTTGATTGTTTATAGCTGGAATATTGTTCAGTGTGGCGTAAAACAACAATCAAACAAACACTACTTAAACTAGACTCATAAGTAAATTTTAAATCATAAGTGAATTTTAAATCATAAGTGGATTTTAAATCTTAAGTGAATTTAAATCATAAGTGGATTTTAAATCATAAGTGGATTTTAAATCATAAGTGAATTTTAAATCTCAAGTGAATTTTAAATCTCAAGTGGATTTTAAATCATATGTGGATTATAAATCTTAAGTGGATTTTAAATGCCCAGGTACATTTATCAAAACTTTATAGTCTCAGATGTAAAGCTCTCAACATATTTTAATAACAGTTTTGCATCTCATATTTTTTTAAGTTTGTTGAGATTTGTACTTGTTCGTAACTTGAAGGTTATCAATTGTGAGTTTGTCTTCATGTCAAACATGACATATTTCTTGTGTCATGTACTACAGCCATGACTGATTAACTGCAGTAATATGAAAGAGTCAGGTGGTCCTTAAAGGGCAAGTTCACACGGAAATGAACCTATTTTTCTTGTACTTTTTCCACATTCAAAGTGTTAACATAGAAGTGTCATAGACAAAAATATAAAAATATCACAATTAATTAACATATTTTTCGCATTAAAACGATTTATATTTTTCACATTTACCAAGTGTTCTATTTCCACAACAAAAACACCATGGCTTATGCCCCTTGCAATATGACGTCATTGGTGCCAATTGATAAACATTATGACGTCATCATGCTTTGTTAGAGCCGCTTCACGTGGTGTAGGTCCAGGTGTGTGATTCTAGCGTCTCAGTTGCCAGCCAGCATAGTGTTATGCTGAGTCACCACTGCGCCGGAGTGTGTCGTAGGCCATGTTGTTTTACCGCAAACTGGTACTTGATATCTTTTGCGTTGAGAATAGACAGGGACCCAGTTGAATTGGCACCAATTACGTCATAATCTAAGGGGGATAACTCAGGCCTGTTTAGCTCGAAAAACGAAGGCCTCATAACGGCATATCATTTTCACACTATTGTGAGCTTCCTACGTTCACTGTGAAAAAAATGAGTGTATATTTTCAAACACAGATACTAATTAATTCTAAAATTGCGTTTTGTTTAGAAAAAGAAAGAAAGTGATTTTTGCGTGTACACTTCCCCTTTAACATAATGGAGTAGTATATATCAAAGATTTAAAAGTTTACAAATTCAAATATTGATGTGATAATCATTACTGACAATTGATAATGTTGTTCATTATTTCATTGTCCAAATATGCTTAAATATGTTACATATCAAAGTACATGTATTCCCCAATATGAACATGATAATAAGTCACCATTGTTTCCATAATCAAATATCAGTGGGGCGGACGGATAGTCTAGTGGTTAAAGCATTCGCTTATCATGCCGAGGACCTGGGTTTGATTCCCGACATGGGTACAATGTGTGAAGCCCATTTCTGGTGTCCCCTGCCGTGATATTACTGGAATATTACTAAAAGTGGCGTAAAACCATACTCTCTCACTCTCTCTCTCTAATACCCCAGTGAAGCTGTTACATGCCCCAATGTAACGCATGTTAGGGTAACAATCCCTTTGGAACCTGTCCTTTGGACTTAAGTACTTAAACCTTATGCAGGTCTTTAGAAGTTTATGCTTACATTGAAACGTACAATAATGGAGATGGATTGTGATGGAGAATGTTCCTATTTAAAGCCCCGGAAACTGTTTGAACGTGTTTTTGATG